TCCTTGTCCGATTCTTGTCAAATCTTGATCAAATCGTAGATTCATGAAAAATATACCCCTTTTCATTTTGATAAAAACGCACGCCCCTGCAGTGCCGGATTTAGAGGAGGGCATCTGGGGCTACAGCCCCGAGGCCTCCACAAAAAAGGAGCCCCACAATAGAGGCAAAAAATCTGTCGGCTTTCGATAATGTTGTTTATGAAAAAGTTTAGTTCCTTGTTTTACCCTTAGTACTTTGTAGGATCATGATTATATTATTTTTAAATATTGAAAAATACGAGAAAAATAATTTAATTATACTGTGTGTCCCACTTACCATGCTCACCATGGGTATCTTTTGAACGGTGAGAGATACGAGGTCGGTTAAATGACACCAAATGTGGAGTTTGTCAAGGCCAACTATAATGTGAAAAAATATTTTGATAAAATCTATTCGTTTTTGTTTTATACAGATTTTGATCATTTTCATGTCTCCTCCGTAACTTCTTTATTTATGAAAATATTCAAATAGGAATTTCACATTCTCATGGCAGTTTTTCAAAGTGATTTCGAAAAAAATATGAAATTTATACCAACTCTTCTAGAATTTGAGATATCAGCACCAACTTTAGTTTTTCAAATGTAAGTCATAGCTCACTATGACTTGGTTACAAATAACTTTTTTTTTCTTTCAGATGATATGTCGCAGTAATAGTTTTGTGTTGATAACAACGGAGTTATCGTCATTTGTACAAAAACAAAAAATTATTTGGAAGCCGCCATCTTGAATTTATGAATTTTAACAAAAAAATCATGATCTACGACTTCAAAAACCCCCACTTATAAATTTTGAATGGAATCGGACCAAATCTTGTCCGCCATCTTGGAGCAGCCATTTTTTTTAATTCCAACAAAAATTCCATAATGTATTGTCATTCAAAATTGGCAAGTGGGTTCCGAATAATTTTTTGTTTCTGTATAAATGACGATAACTCCGTTGTTATCAACAGAAAACTATTACTGCGACATATCATCTGTAAGAGAAAAAATAGTTATTTGTAACTAAGTCATAGTGAGCTATGACCTACATTTGAAAAGCTAAAGTTGGTGCTGATATCTCAAATTCTAGAAGAGTTGGCATAAATTTCATATTTTTTTCGAAATCACTGAAAAACTGCCATGAGAATGTGAAATTCCTATTTGAATATTTTCATAAATAAAGAAGTTACAGAGCAGACATGAAAATGATCAAAATCTGTTTTTTGCGTGTAAAACAAAAACGAATAGATTTTATCAAAATATTTATTTGTCAAAATGGCCCTGATAAGCAGTTGTTGCTATTTACTACCCATCTTGATAGAATATCCCAATGGCTGAGTGGGGAAATACTTGTCCGTATATACAGGGTGGCATTGAAATAAGTGCAAATATTCCAAACACTGAGAAAGCTGGGCGTGTAATATCGAATGGCGGTAATAAAAAAGAATTTAGGATCGTAGCAAATCTGACGTCAAATCTTTTCAAATTTCCATGCCGTAGGCACAATCACGCGGAGTTCAATCATTTGAATCGTTTTAAAGTGGAGCACTTGATTTTTTTCTCGTATTTTGTTCAATTTTTGGGATGAAATTAGAAGAATTAAAAAAAAAATGATCTCATGCATGGGAATATTTCTTGACTGTATCATATCAATGTGCTGAATATGTGCACTTATTTCAAAAACACCTTGGATAGCCTCAGAGGGTGGGTGTGAGTTTCCGAATTTTCATTATATATATAGAGGACTGGAGAAAACCAATATACGGAGGTATTTTAATACGACATTCTTGAAGATGAAAATTCAAGAATTACATTCCCGGACATTCAAATTGCACTGGGAATGTATTTGGTTTTGATTGCGTCAAATTACAATGGAGAACGCTCATTTTCAAAAATGAACATTATAAAAAATAGGCTTCGAACTCCGATGGGGCAAAACCGTCTTTCAGATAATTCTTGTTTTTGACTTTATTTCTATTGGGTGTTTCTTAAGTAGGTACGTATAAGAATGACAGGAGCATGTTGCTAACGTCAAAATGAGAAGAAAAGTTCGTATAAACATATGTCCGCAAGTTATTCAATCTGAGATGCAAAGTGTTTTAGTTTGATTTCTTTCCTATTTTTTGTAAAGTCAAAAATGACCGTGATATTCGAGTGAAATTTGGTATCTCACCCGAATATCACGATTATTTTGGAATTCATTCACAAAAAACCGCAATAACTATCAAAATTCGACACTCTGTATCTGAAAATGAATAATATTATGTTTATACAAACTTGTCTTCTTATTTAACGTCAGTAACATTCCCCTGATTTTTTTCGCGTTCTTAAGAAACACTCGACCGAAAAATTATTAATTTTATATGGAAGGAGCCCGGGAGCATCCACTCTTTTGTTGCCCTAGTGCCTCCAGACCTCTAAATCCTGCTCTGTGCCACTGTTCGAAATGCTGTTCGTCTGTGGAAAACGATCATTTTCATAGTTATTTATACCCGTCCAAATTTGGTAAAAATCGGACTAATAGCTGAGATATAGAGATATAGTAAAACTAGCATCGACTTTTTTTTCAAATACGGTGCTCTAATTAAGAGTTCAAAGATTCTGAAACCTTTTTTCATACTGAATACGACAACGTGGTTCGAATGTGTTTTTCGACCTAAAAAACATGGAGTTTTCCACTGCCTATACCGCTCTTGTTCTCGAGTACCAATCAGAATCGACCATTTTCACGGACTCTCCTGTATGGATTCGCTGTATTGCAGCGATATTCCTTGTTTACTAAAATTTAGCTTTTATTGCAAATAAATTCACTTCAAATCCCTAGGGATTTAAAGTACCACTATTTTCCCCGAAAATATGGAATAAAGGCACACTTTAAATCCCTGAAGTGCATAAAAACAATGAATTTTTGATTTTCCAATAGTTGGTGGTTTGTCAATGTAGGTTCAAATCATTCAGGAAATTGACCCCACTATACAGGAAAGTCAGTAGAAAATAGTGTAGGTATATATGTATGTTGTTTATACATTATGAATACATTGTGCGAATTGCCCGCATATCTGAATATCTATGAAGTAACATATTTATTCACGAGGCAGTTATGTGAACAAGAATGTTATCTAGTTATTTACTTTCTAGCAATGATCCTCGCATGACCTTACCTTTCACAGTAGTAAAATCATTCTGTTTATAATACCTATTCACTTCCACTACATTCGATTCCAAGATTCTCCACACTTGACACAGATAATTCAAGTAATGTTTACGCAACTCCGTCATAATTTCGCAATGAAATCACAGTCCGTTGACATTTCGCAAAATAACAGGTATCAGGTATGTACAATGTACATGGTGTTCCACAAAGAAGAATTGAAATCCAATGTGGAGACTTCAACTAGATTAAATTCGTTATTTATTTCGAATTTATTCCAGGTCTCCACCCTTATATATAGTTCGAAATCCGTTCCATATGCTCAAAGTCTGTTATCAAAATTTCGAAGAAGACGAGGTCTTTTCTCACCCATTTTTTTGATATTGAAAAAGTTGATCCACGTTCTAGCTAACCACATTTCCGTAGTTTGATGCGTATACTCCTTACTGAACAATTTTCCATCAATTTCTTCAACTGCCTGAAGTAGTTTAATCGAGGATAAGGAATATTCGAGGATAAGGAATATTCATTCATAAGGAATATAAGGATCATTCATTTCTCTAGACTTTTTGGGATTTTCTCTAAACTTTTGGGACCTTCTCTCTTCGTTTCAATTCAACAAAAGAAAATATTAGTAGTACCCTCAATTATATATGTCGAAATCTTATAGTGTGATCAGCCGTTTCATGAAAGGTCTGGTTCTCTCATGAAACGCTGCTAAACACTAAAACAATAACTATGGCGCCAAAAATCTATAAATAAGAAGACATATTTCTTCCTGTAAACATGTCTGATAATTTTCATAAGAAAGTTACTAGGACGATATGTTTTGTGGAAGGATTGTGTATTTGAATGCATAAGTATACGCAAACTACTTCCCAGGAACTCATTTATAGCCTTCTGGCGTAATAGTCAATTGTTTCAGTGTTTGGCAGCGTTTCATGAAAAGAAACTTGATGAATTGGCAGACAAGGCACTAGGAGAATACTAGAGGAATATCACGGGTTGCAGGCCAAGGAATTCGCGCCTCTTCATAGAAGTACTCACAGGACACAACAGGCTAGACAGACTCCTAAAACTTTGGGGAATAGAGGACAACCCCACTTGCCGCAGATGTGGGGAAGACGAAGAAACGTCACACCATTTTCTCGGCGAGTGCGAGGCGTATGGAAGGCTGGGATTTGAAATCTTTGGAGACGACAAACTCCAACAGGAGCAGTTGATCATATTAGAGTGGACGAACATACTGGCCTTCATCAGAAGGTCAGGGAGATTCGTAAAGGAAATCTAGGTGACGGAAGCGTAGATATGTGGAGAGCAAGGGTTTCCAAAAAGGGCCCATCGGGGCCTACTTCCTTGGCTCCAGCCTCCCCACCGACTACTACTACTACTTCATGAAAATACCAGCAGACTTTTCATGAAATGGTTGATTAGACTAAGAGGCTGACTACATATACACAATTCCAATTCATGTCTATAGTATAAACAAATTGATTTGACTTCGCGTTGAATAAATTCACATTTGCAGCAGTTTGTAATGTTCTTCAAACCTCTTTTTCATCCGATTGCTATGGACATAATTCGTCATGCTTTTTGGTGCATTGGGACTTGGGAACACCATGTACATGTGCCTTAAAGGTATGTTCGTTTGTATTGCTGAACTTGCTAAAGTTTTCCATAGTTGTCTCTGTTCATAGCATAATGTAAACAGAGAAAGTAATAGAAAAAAATCAAGTTTAGCAGGTACAGCAAACACAAACGAACAGTCTACTCATAAATGAAATGACTTGTTGTTCCGGACAAAAAGTGAATATCCGACATTTGATCTCAGGTCGAGGCCGGTGTATTGTAATATATCTGACGTCATCGATCGCATTAACCACGTGATGTGAAGTCGTGAAATGTTCGACACCTGTCAAACTATAAATGGCGGTCCGAAGTGTAATGAAGTGGCGGAAAAACTCGTACAGTTGTTCGGCTGGAGGCAGACTTACAATGTGGAAAAATTGCAGAGGAACGTTCCAGGTAGATCAACAACGAGAATTTCCATCACGAGGCCTACGCCGCCAAAAGACAGAGATGCTAATACAAAGGTAAGAAATAACCAAAGTGTACCTGGTGACGCGTTATTAAAGTACAACCCCCTATAATCCATTGTAATATGTTTGATTTAGAATGGTCAATAATAAATTGACTTCTAACTTCAATCAACAGTTACCGTCCCAACGTAGATCATATTATAACATACAGAGTACTTATATCACATGCCCCTCTTTTTCATCTAATCTATTTGGTTTATTAATATATCTTCCATTTCTAGTATATCGATGACCATTTTCAGCATCGTCGTGGTTTTACTCATCAACTCCTGATTCCTCTCCTTCACTCCTTCTTCCATCATCTTCATCAACTCCCTCACTGCTCCTATCATCATCATCCTCTAACAATTGTTCATTCGTCATCTCATATCTTCTGCTCCCAGATTCAGAATCGGTGATTTCTTCAATGTCACTTATTCCATTTACTTGATTTCGTGGACTACCACTTTTTCCAAAGTGAAAAATTGGATTGAAATGAAAAAGATTTGATTGTGCTTGTTTCGACACATCATAATATTCTGTGTTGATATGGAATGGCTTCAGATTTTGTCTATTCCTTCTATAAATTGAACTACTTCATCTTCTATATCATAATTATTCTGGTTATTTTGTTTTTTATCACTTTTGCCAGTTTCCTTTCATCACGCCTTTCATATAATACTTTTTGTTCAATTTTCAAATCACTCAACGTTCTTGTACTTTATCATTATAACTCTTCAGCCTAATTTGATGAAACTGCATAGTGTTATTAGGCTATTTTTTGAACCAATTGAATTTAACAATATGGCTATCCTCACACTATCCTCCTGTTTATTCTTTCCACTTGCAATCATGTATAGGCTAAATTTTTGCTTCCAAAGCTTCCAGCTGGGAAACGTTGAACTCCATTGCTGAAGGGAATCTTAAATCGGAACTAATTTTCAGTCTTGCTCATTTTCAATTCATTCTCATCAACTTTTTACCGCTGCCACCATGTAACATGTTTGATTTAGTATGGTCTATAATAAATTGAGATTTTATATTTTTTGAATAATTCATATCTGATGACTTCCAACTTCAAACAACAGTTGCCGTCCCAACGTAGATCATATTATAACATACAGAGTACTCATATCTCATCCATTACTCTTATATTTTACAGCAAAATAAAGAGAAAAAAAAACGGCCTCACAGGGATTTTTTTTCTTGTTGGAAAATTGAAAAAGAAATCTCTTTATTGACGGCATATTTTGAAAATGTACAAAAGGTGGACATGATCTCTAGAAAATCAGCGGAAAAATGCACAACTTTAATCGACTTCGTTGAAATAGGAATTTTATGTAATAATATATTAGATGCATCATTAATGGAAATTATTATTTATCAGTACTGAAATATCATTTAAAAAAAACATACTTCATCATTTTTTCTGGCTAACATTTGATTTAATTGGAAGTGTGAACAATTCAATTCTTCAAATCCTGCGAAACAATGGAAGTTATGAATAATTAATTCAAATAAGGTTTCTTTTGTTGAGAAACAATCACTCGAGAGTTTCTACAATTTTGTAAAAACTAGTAGCATTTATTCGTTTATTCGTGAGAAAATGTCACGATTTCATAGGTGGTCCAAAGGAAAGGCCTGTTCAGGACAATTTTGAAAATTATTTCAATTTTTTTTGTAAAAAATTCATGTCTGTCTATACAAGTCATGAAAATTAACGTGTGATCGTTTTTTTTTCATCATCAAATTATTGGTTCAAGTTATTCAGGATTCAAATACATAGAAATTGATCAATCGAGCACCAGATGTCTTCTTGCCACACTCTGTATTCGCCGTCCTTTATACAGGGTGGCATTGAAATAAGTGCAAATATTTGAAGCCTTGAGTAAGCTCGACGTATACTATCGAGTGGCACCAATTAAGAAAAATTAATAAGGATCAAAATGAAATATGAGGCACAGTTTAAAGAATGGGTATTCCTTAAACTGTGTATGAGGTTAGACCCCTTTTTCCACCCAAAGTTCCGTTTTAGCAATTCTGACGTCACCTCTGTTCAAATTTTCGTGCGGAAGACACAATCACACGGACTTCAATCATTTAAATTGTTTGAAAGTGGCGTAGTTGGTTACTAGATCTGGTAACATATCTTAGGTTAGGTTACTAGATCTAGTAACATAATATCTTAGGTTAGGTTACTAGATCTGGTAACATATCTTACTAGATCTGGTAACATATCTTAGGTTAGGTTACTAGATCTGGTAACATATCTTAGGTTAGGTTACTAGATCTGGTAACATATCTTAGGTTAGGTTACTAGATCTAGTAACATATCTTAGGTTAGGTTACTAGATCTGGTAACATATCTTAGGTTAGGTTACTAGATCTGGTAACATATCTTAGGTTAGGTTACTAGATCTAGTAACATATCTTAGGTTAGGTTACTAGATCTAGTAACATATCTTAGGTTAGGTTACTAGATCTGGTAACATATCTTAGGTTAGGTTACTAGATCTAGTAACATATCTTAGGTTAGGTTACTAGATCTGGTAACATATCTTAGGTTAGGTTACTAGATCTGGTAACATATCTTAGGTTAGGTTACTAGATCTAGTAACATATCTTAGGTTAGGTTACTAGATCTGGTAACATATCTTAGGTTAGGTTACTAGATCTGGTAACATATCTTAGGTTAGGTTACTAGATCTGGTAACATATCTTAGGTTAGGTTACTAGATCTAGTATCATATCTTTGGTTAGGTTACTAGTTCTGGTAACATATCTTAGGTTAGGTTACTAGTTCTGGTAACATATCTTAGGTTAGGTTACTAGTTCTGGTAACATATCTTAGGTTAGGTTACTAGTTCTGATAACATATCTTAGGTTAGGTTACTAGATCTGGTAACATCTCAATCAATTTTTTTAATTGGAATGCCCAGTATATTCGCATATTTTCTGAAGCATTTCTGCTTCAAAAATTCCTGAAAATAGCAAAAATCGCAAAAATTCCTGAAAATTGCAAAAATTGCAAAAATTTCGGAAAATTGTAGAAATTTCGAAAAACTCCTGAGAATTGCAAAAATCGCAAAAGTGCCTAAAAATTGCAAAAATTCCTGAAAATTGCAAAAATTTCTGAAAATTGCAAAAATTCCGGAAAATTGTAACAATTCAAAAAATTTCTGAAAATTGCAAAAAATTTCTGAAAATTGCAAAAATTGCAAAAAATCCTGAAAACTGCAAAAATCGCAAAAATTCTTTAAAATTCCTAAATTCCTGAAAATTGCAAAAATCGCAATTAACAGGTCTCACCTTTCTCAAATATGTTAGGTTTTGTATCCCTTTGATCTGGCACAATTTCACAAATAGGTAGGAATTCTACGAGCCACAGAAACACAAAACACGACCCAGCCCTTTCAACTTTTCATTAACAACTGAACGAATGGAAATAAAATAAAACGGCAAATGAAAAATTCACGGCGTATTATGAAACCTTTTCATAGTAATAATGTTTGGCGTGATTGATCCATGGGTAGGCAGCATTAATTTGGCGCCTGTTTTGGAAGTTGATGTTTCATTTCATGAAATCAACGTTTAGTGTTCGTTGAAACAATGAAAACCATTCATTATTTTCTTATGTTTGTTGTTGATAGATCTATGACGAAAAGTTTATTGCTCCAATGATGAAAAACATAGATCAATAAACATCAAACGTTGATTCAATGAATTTTTTCATCACATGAATATAAAAAATGACTAACTTTTGATGTTTTTCGTTCATTGTTTCAGTGTCTTGCGGTATGAACCCATCATCAGAAATGATTGTAATAATCATCGATTCGTAATATTAATGTTCAAAAAATTGACGACCGCCGTTCATTAACTTTACGTACAAAATTATTTTCTGTGTGACTTTTTTCTCGTTTTTGTTCAATTTTCGGGATGAAGTTTCTTGTTAATTAGAAGAGTTAGGGAAATCTGATATCATGGGAATATTCGTTAGACAGTATCATATCGATGTGCTGTTTATATGTACTTATTTCAAAAACACCTTGTATAGTGAGTAAATAATATAATATGCTCTTTTTTGCATTTGTGTGAACAGATTGAACTTTGTACTTTTTGAACGTTTCTAATCTGACGATTTGTTGATTCAGGTACGTCACTGATTATAATTTCTTCCTTTCCGCAATAATTGATATACGAAAAAAAATCGTCTAGCCGCCATTTTAGTTCCGTCTGTCAGCAGTTGAAGACAACATGACAACAACAACGGGTGTATCATTACTTGCCATTAGTGACTTCCTTTCTTACAATCGAGATTTTCTAGAAGAGTTATAACTATGACTCATTCACCTTAGTTGGAATTGTTGAAGATTTTTTTAGGTTTGTGGATTAACGTTCTCTGAAGAGATATTATGGTTAACATATCTCAGAGAAATCATTATTTGACCCCAAATTGTACACCAAGATGTGAATAGTTAACACCGGATTACTACATAAGTAGGTACAGCCTTCTTCAATAAACATGTCACAGAATGAAAACGACACAAACATTTGAGCAAGGGTTTGATTTGTTTATGTTGGCCACAGGATTGAGTGAAAAACCTGATACTAACAAATTAGCAGTTCTATTGAGCATTTGTACTATTACTAGGGTCATTCCGTTTATTTTAACAGCTTCTATACAGTGTTCATCATGGAATATATAAGGAAAAACTTCAAATGCAAAAGTTGTATATATCAGAGAAATAGTCGGTAGTGACTACCAAATGTTTAATAATATAGGCGCCAGTCACTACATTCATCAAATAACACCACAACAAAATTGAACCATACTATACTATATGTAACATACTATTTTGTAGTATAGTAATATGTGATATATTATAGTATTATACAATTTTATAGTGGTATTATTAGATGAATGTAGTGACTCTGGCGCCTATATGTTACTAAACGTTTGATATTTACAATATACCGACTATTTTTTTCAGTACGGTATTTTCTGAACCTCC